TAGTCTTTCTAAAAAAATTTTTAATTATATTCAGTTGAATTGGTATGTTAAATAGGAATTCTGAGATTCAATCACAAACAACTATTTGTCTTCCATATCCTTTTAAATTTATTCAGGAAACAGTTCTTTCTGTAGATGTGAAGTTAAGCAGATTACACAACTTTTTTGATCACTCTGAGTTTTATTTTATTTTTTAATTTTTTATTTATTAATTTGAGAAGGAGAGAGAGGGATAGGGAAGGAGGAGGGGGAAGAAACAGAGAGGCAATATTGATTCTTTGTTCCACTTACTTAATGTATTCATTGGTTCATTCTTGCGTGTACCATGACCAGGGATTGAACCTGCAACCTTGGCATATCAGGACAACGCTCTGACCAACTGAGTCACTGCTCCAGGGCCTGATTACTCTGAGTTTTAAAATTAAGCAAAACAAGAAAATCTTGATTTCCAGACAGAAACATATGTGCAGTTCTCAGAATGCTGGTGATCCACTCTCTAGGCATCCAGAGGTCTGCCTTCAGCTTCCTTCTGTTGGGCTCATTGGACAGCCCTCTGGGAGAATCTAAGATGACCTGTGCCAGCTCTCGTGTGTTCACATCTGGTCTGTCTGAGACGTTTAGATGTCATTCAGGGAATGTAGGCCCTTTGCTGGGTGGGAATGGGGTGGGACTTGCAGCACACCACAGCTCTAGTAAGGAATTCTCTCCATAAAGCCTCTTTACAGACTTTTACCCCTGACCGGTTTATTCTCTGTGTGGTCCTAAAAGTTATATGGCCAGTTTTGGCCATCTTTGTGCAAATTCATCTGGGTAGTCTATCGTAAAACTAGTTTTGGATTCTGATGTTCATATTGTTAGGGTGTTGAATGACTTTCAAAATTATTTCATAGAGAATTCTGATAACTAAAGTGCATAACAGACTTTTTATAAAAATTAAATGTTTCCATTGGTTTGAGACCAAGTAGAGCAGATATATTTACAAATTGAATTTTTATTCCTCAGTATAGTTGTGTTGGTACAGATATATCACTGTGCCTTAATCATAATACAAGTAATCATATCTTTAGTTTTCTGAGGTTTGGTCTGCAGAGGACTGTGGTGTAGCAGAAAACATACTTTATTGCAAGTCAGAAGTCCCAATCTTAAGACCTTTGACAAATCTATCTCTTTGGACCCTCATATTTCCACGTGGAAATTGAATTAGATCAATTTAGCAATATGTATTTATTGAGTTCTTATTGAGCACTTACAGTAATGGGGTTCTTAGTGTACTTCTCAGTATACTGGTGCAGTTATCCAAAATACACTAAAGAAAGTATGACTACAAGTTTGGACAGTGTTCACAATGAAAGGGACAGTGCTTTAGGAGACCCTGACCTTGGCTGAGGGTCAGGAAATGCTCTTGTATGAGAAGATAACACTTCAGCTAATAAGAAGGACTGGGAGGTTACCAAGTAAAGGGGTTGGGGGTGTGGAACAGAGCAAATCAGATAAAGAAAACAGAACAGAGCAAAGGCTCTGATTGAAGAAGTCAAGAGAAATTTAGTTTGCAAAATGGCTCAGATTTTTATCATGGATTTGGTTTGGGAGGCTAGGTGAGAGTAGAAGGAATCAAGAAAGATCTCTCAATAAAAACTGAGAATCTGATGGCTGATTGAGCCATTCACTGGAGTAGGGAACAGTAGGAACAGTAGAAGCAGGCACAGAGGGGAAGATCAAGAGTTTCATCTTGAACAAGTTGACTCAAGTTGCTTTTGAGATACCTATACAGAGATGTCTAGGAGGCAGTTGGATATAAGAACAGAGGTTTGGGATAGAGAGAGAAATTTGGAAGCCATTGTCTCATATATAAGAATTGAAGCCATGATAGTAGCTGAGTCTATAGGAAGAGAGTTTGGAATAGAAGGTAGCCCTTTGAGAAGTGCCAGCCTTTAAGAGTTATGTAGAAAAGGGTAAAACAGTGAAAGAGACCAAGATGTATTCAGTAATACAGAAAGAAAGCCAGAAGTAAATTATATCACTGAAGCTGAGGGAAGTGTGTGTTTCGTGAAGGAGGGGGAATGGTTATCACTGTTAGATGCTGCTGGGAGTCCAGGAATGATCGCAAGAGTCATGATGGCATCAGGAGGTCTCTGGGAAACCTAGAGAGAACTGTCTTTAGGAAGAGGGAGTGGCAGGAGCACATTGAAGACAATACCAGAAGAGTCTCTAAGGGGAGAGTGAGTATAGACAGGGCTTTCAAAAAGATGAATGGTCATATATCAGAGAGAGGGCTGGAGAGAACTGTGGAGTGGAGGGAGGGAGGAATTTTTTTTTAAGTTAAAATGCTTGAGGATGTTTAAAGGCTATCAGGAAGGCTCCAGTGCAGGGGGGAGAGGTTGAAGCTGCAAGGGAGGGAACAGCTTGTGATAAGGTTGAAAGGAGGCCAAGAGGATGGATTATAAATTATGCTCAGATGAGAGGTTGGTCTTAGATGAGCTCCTTTAATCTAACAAGAGAGGAAGAAGAGGACGAGGCAGATCAAAGCTGATTTATAAGTTTGGGAGCAGGAAGTTGAGGGTGTTTCCATCTGATGGCTTTCCATAAAAGTTTGTGCTAGTTTTAAATGTTGTGATTGTATGACATAGTAATGATAATAACCTTTGTAGACTGGTTTCCATGAGTTAGTTATGTGTGTTATGTGTGTTAGTTATGTGTGTTCCACTAATATGTGTTACATACAGAGTATATGATCCCTATGGGCAAACTGCCTGGAATTTGAATCCAGGCCTTTCCATTACCTATGTGACCTTGAGTCATGTGACCTTGAGCTAGATTTAATCCTCTCTGGGCCTCAATTTCTTCTGTAAATGGCAGTAAGATACAGGATTAAATGAGTGTGTGTACATATATAGATATATATGTATATGTTTATATATACTGCTTAATGTGGACTTGGTATTTGGCCAGTGTGCCCTAAATGCTAGCTAGCAATAGCAGCAGTAGTAGTAGTCCCCGGCAGCCATCAGCATCTGGTACTGCCCTTACCACTCCCTTTTGCTGGTGCGATGGTAGTATTTAGCCCTGTTGTACAGATGAGGTGGCAATCAGAGATGAAGTGGTTTGTTTGGGGCCACACAGCTGAACAGATGAAAGAGCCAGATTTCAAACTAGGTGTGTTCAGCTTCAGACCTACACTTTGGCAAGGTCTGGAAGCAGTTTATCTGGAATATTTCTTCTGTAGCTCTCTTGATACTCGCAATTTCAGGGTTAACCTTATGTAAAGATGTGAAGTGAACAAAGTCAGAGTTGGTCTTTCATAGCACCCGCCAGCCCAGAGGCTTGCTCCCAGTCAGTGGACCTGTTCCGTGTTCCCAGCTCCCACTGCTGTCCTGCAAATCAGTTCTTCCTTTACTGAACCCTTCCATGTTTTCGTAGTTCCTCCATCTACAGCTTTTTCTTTCATTCTTAGTTTATATTGACCATTTTTTACTTTTTAAATTTTGTATCAAAGATTGTGTGAGTTCAGCTTGGAATGAGTGAGTTGATGGTGGAGGGCATACCTTATCCTGGGTAGTTGAAAGGGTGCATGTTCCTTTCTATGCTTCCTTGGAATATTATCTGAAGAATGAAGTGAGGGAAGCTTTGTCACCAGTTTGGCTTTTACGCTTACCATTAAAAACATCTCCCTGGCATTTGTAAAAATCGTTGTAACACATACCCCCTTAACTCACTTTTACCCAATGGCATAGCTTGTCCCTCTGCTCGTGGCCTGTTTTGTGATTAAATTGCCTCCCCTTTCTGGTGTTCTTTCAACTTTCCTTTTTAAAGCTCACAACAGAATAACTCCTAAGAACATTATCAGACTATATGGGAAGAACATGGAAGTTCAATAGAAGGAACGTGCGACGTGATTATTTTTTAATCTCAATGTAATCATAGTAGAACGTTATTATGTTACATTCAGGGGGAGAATTGAGATAATACCACTTCAAAATAAAGCAGTTTGAGATACTGCCATGGACTTAATGTATTTCTCATGATGAGAATAGCTTCTTTGTTGGATCTCACTGACGAATTTTAATTTCCTCTTAGTCCCATACTGTTCGATGGTCCCGGGGGAGCGGGCGTTCTTTTCAGAAGAGATGACAGTTGATTTTGGCTCCCTAGGAGTTGGCTCTGGTAAATCACTGCTTTCTTTTCTGGCTTTTAACAGCATTATTGAGGTATAATTTATATTCCATACAATTCAACCATTTAAAATGTAAAGTTCAGTTGTTTTTAGTAAATTTATAGAGTTGTACAACCTTCCTAACAATCCAGCTTTACAAGTTTGTCATCACTCTGAAAACCTCCATTGAACCCATCTGCAGCAGTCTCTGCCCCCTTTGCTGTAGCCCATGCTACAGCAAGCCACTGATTTGCTTGCTGTCTGTAGATGTCCCTTTTCTGGACATTCCCTATAAATGGAATGGGAGAGTGTGCTGTTGTCTTTTGTATCTGGCTTCTTTCACTGAGCAAAATGTTTTTGAAAGGTCTTCATCCATGTTGTAACATGCATTGGTAGCTTGTTGCTTTTTACTTCTAGTGTTTAATCGTGTGGATATTCCACATTCGGTTTATCCATTCATGAGTTGATGACTATTATTTCCATTGGGGGTATAGTACGAGTAATGCTACATTCAACATTCATGGACAAGTCTTTGTGTGGACAGATATTTTTGTTTTCCTTGGGTAGAAACCTAGGGATGGAATTGTGAGGCTGTGTACTAGTTTATGTTAAACTGTTTAAGAAACAAACTATTTTTCCAAGTGGCCGAAGCATTTTGCACTCCCAGCAGCAGTGAATGAGGACTCCGGTTTCTCCACATCGTTGGCAGCACTCAGTGTTGCCTTAGTTGTAGCCGTCACAGTGGGTGTGTGATGGTGTGGTGCTGTGGTTTTCCTCTGCAGCACCCTTCCTAGTGAGTAATAATGTTGAGCATATTTTACCCATTTTAATACATTGTTTGTCTTTTTAGTACTGAGTTGTGACAGTGCTTTATATATTCTGTATGCAAGTGCTTTATCAGGTATGTGATTTACAAATGTTTTTTCCAAGTCTGTACCTTAGTATTTTATTTTTTAATAGAATCTTTTGAATCACATAAGTTTAAAAAATTTTAATGAAATCCAGTAGTTGTTTTCTTCTATGATTTATGGTTTTGGTGCTATATCTAAGGCCTCTTTGACTAACTTAAGGTCACAAAGATTTTTCTCCTTTGTTTATTTCTAGACGTTTTATAGTTTTAGCTCTTACATTTAGGTCTGTGGTACATTTTGAGTTGATTTTTGTGAGTGTTATGAGGTAAGGGTCTGAATTACTTGTTTGTGTATTAATGTCAAATTATTCTAACACTATGTATTGAAAAGACAATTCTTAAGGGAGAAAACTGTACTTGAACAATGATTAAAATAAAATTTTAAAAAATATATTGCATTAAAAAAAGATGAAAAGATGATTTTTTCCCCCTATTTGCCTTGTACTGTTATTGAAAAGCATTTGACCATAAAGAGAAGGGCTCATTTCAGAACTCTCAGTCCTGTGCCCTTTATCCGGCAGTCTGTCCTTATTCTGGTATCATACGTCTTGATTACTATAGCTCTATAGCAAATTCTGTGATCAGACAGTGTGAATTCTCCAAAATCTTTTTTAAAAAATATTCTTTGGTCTATTCTAGCACTTTCCCTGTTCTTATGTTTTAGAATTAGTATCAACAAAAAGCCTGCTGGGATATTGACTGGGATTGTTCTGAATCTGTAGATCAACTTGGGGAAAATTGCCATCTTAACAATATCAAACCTTTCAATTCATGAACATTGTATATCTGTCCCATTTATTTCGTCTCATATGATTTATTTCATCAGCATTTTTTACTTTTAGGCTATAGTTCCTGCACATATATTATTAGATTTATATGTAAGCATTTAATTTTATGATTGTGCTATTGCGATGCTTTAAAAAAAATCAGCTTATTTTTCATCCCCCATCACCATTTCAAGTTTTGCTCAAATGCTGTCAGTTGAATTCACCCATATTATATTTGAATCTGGCCAAGTGCCAAATAGTGTCTTAAAAATACAGTAAGTAGCCCCTAATATTGTACATTTATAGTTACTAAGAGGTAAAGAAAGAAAGGAACAATATTTATTACTTTGACTCAGAGACTGGTTAGCAGTTGTTTAGTAACACTATTATATCAGTCTGTGTACATTACTGATCCTGTGAAACACACAGACCTTTCTGTCAGGAAAGGGCAAGCATGTAACCTCCTGTTGGTTCTTCTGTAGGTGTTGCAGCTTCCCTGGACGTCTCAGGGAGCCCTGGGAGTGTCCAGGTGGCCCGAGGTCAGACAGCAGTCCTGCCCTGTACTTTCACCACCAACGCTGCCCTCCTTAACCTCAATGTCATTTGGATGGTCATTCCTCTTGCTAATGCCAACCAGCCTGAGCAGGTACTTCTCTTCCATCCTGTGCCACCCCAAGAATATTAGTATTAATCTTTTCAAAGGAGGCCAGTCAGAAAGCATCCTGAGTTTGTATTTGAATCCTAGAGAAAGGTGACACTTTCAGTGCGCCTCCGCTGTTTTATGTCCTGCTCCTGCATCAGTAGTCGAGTGTCAGAAGAAGCGATCCTCTTTGTAAAAGACTTAAAAAAACTTAACAGATGTCAGGGGTGTTCTTCTGAGAATTTTGTGTAATTTTGAGGAACCTGAAGTTTCATCAAAAAATATTACTGACAGGAAATACCAAGACTGAATATATACCCAAGCAAAATTGAAAAGGAAGAGACTGGAATTAACATAGGTGGATGAGATGTGATAATATTAAGAAAGTAACATTAGATAATAGTACTTGAATTATTTGACTAATTTCACATGTATTTTAAAATAAACAAAGCCAGCCAGGCACACTGGAGTCTCATATAAGTTAGGGTATGTGAAATTAGAAGTTACTACCTAATAAGGTGTATCAATTATAGTAAAAGACCCATAATGCATGATACCCACTGCAGAAAATAATGCTCAGAAAATTAATGAATTGTGGTTATGATTCTACCTTCATTGCCTAAGTTAACTCCTTTCTGTTATGAAGATTTTCTGCTTCAATAAGCTTATTACTACTTAAATATATTTGATAAGCTAAATTTTCTGAAGGGATTTGGGTTGGCAGTAAAGGGTGAGGACATAACCTCCTATTCATTCTTCTGGCAGGTGAACAAATAAGTATATTTAGTAGCTACTTCTTGTATTTCTTTAAGCTATGAAACTTTTGTAGTTGGACTGAGCCTTTGAGATAATTTTATTCAGACTTACCATTTTAGGAGTCAGTGATTGAGTCAGTCAAAGAGGCAAAGGAAGACTTGACCCCAGTTGCCCAAACAGTTCCTAGTAGAGCTGGAGTAGAACCGAGTCCCTCACTCTCAGCCCACAGGGCTTTCCACAGCACTGTTCTGAGTCCTCTCCCATGAATAGTTGACTTCAGTGATAGAAATGGACATAAGAACAGCAATGAAGGGCTTATAACTCTTCTCCCTTTTTATGACATTCATTTATATTCAGTCATTAACTGTGATCTGTTAGGAAGCATGAGAATGGCAGTGCTAATTGAAAAAAAATTTTAAATTGGAACTGGTAAAAATATTTATGGGCTGGGAGTAGCATAGCATAAAGATGCATTCTATACTCTGACGAGTTAGGTAAGGAAACACTATTATTCCACTTTGGTACATAAGAATTTAGAATCTCTAGATACTTATGGACAGGTATTATAGTAAGAACTCAGTGACAACACTAAGTTAAAAATAAAATTTCTTAATGTTTGGTACAGTCTGTTGTCTACTAGATCGTTGTTATGGGTCTGGAAGGAGGTGCAGCAGCCAGTTCATTTACTTTGCTTCTTTTGCAGGTCATTCTGTACCAGGGTGGACAGATGTTTGACGGTGCCGCCCAGTTCCACGGTAGGGTAGGATTTACGGGCACCATGCCAGCCACCAATGTCTCTATCTTCATTAACAACACTCAGCTGTCAGATACAGGCACCTATCAGTGTTTGGTTAACAACCTTCCAGATAGAGGGGGCAGGAACATTGGGGTCACCGGTCTCACAGTTCTGGGTGAGTGAGAGGAAATGTTCCAAGCACGTGGGCTTTACTTGTGAGTCTCCTCTGAAGCAGATTTGCTTTTGCCTGTCCTGTCCCCTCCGTCTGCTCGTGTCCATCCCCTGTCTTCCCTGCCCCCAGCCTGCCTCGACTGCTCCCGCATGCCTGAGTCATCCGACCTTCCTCCATGTCAGGTAGCTCCCTGAAGGTGGCATAAAACACCATCAAAAGTGGCCTCTCACTTTTCTTAAGCTTCTGCAGGATAGGACTTCTTGTTGAGAGCAAATTAAATCAGGATTTACATATTGTAAATATGAAGCAAAAGTTTTAGCACATGTGAAAGTGCATTAGCTGCTACTCCGTGTATGGGTACCCAGTATGCTCACCACAGTTCTTGGTGTGTACCTCTTGTCCTGGCATAATTTTAATTGCACTTCTTTTCACTCTCAAAACTATCCTGTTTAAATGATAAATTGTATAATCAATTTGGTCTTAATACCAAGACCAAATAGACTTAGGGCCTTTCCCCAGTTATATAGGCAATGAACAGCAATAAAGTCTAGACTAAAATGTAGATCTCTTTACTCATTCTTTCCATTATACTGGCAAGTTAGTATATGTAATACTTGATTAGATCCATTCTAAACGTGTTCTATTTCTCAATTCCACTGCCTCTGAAATAAAACACTACCTCCCAGATGGATACTTACAGTACAAGTAGCTAAGTTCAGTTCATTTAGGGAGACTGAGGAAGTACTTACCGATAGAAAAGGTTGTGCTTTTAATGGTCCCTGTTCCTACTCGAATCTCAGAATCTATTTTCATGTTCCTGGACAAACTCTGTCCCTTTCTTTTCCCTTCATTACTGAGTCCCGTGAGGACACCAGCAGTGGCGGTTGTTGACATTTTTCTTCTTTGGGTGAGGATATACTATAGCCTCAGGGCCTTGTCCTCCCAGTTTTCAAACAGAATAAGGACACTAAGAATGAGGTTGGAGATTCTTTCTAGAAGAATTATTCATTTTAATATATTAAAATTACAGACTTTAAAATACTTTGAGAGCTGAATACTGTTAGAATTTAATATTCGGATGCTTATACCTGTAAGTTAGGTAACTAGCTTCCCACATTATCCAAGCTTATTTTTTTCATTTTTTTAAACGAAGGAAAAAGCCTTTAATTTATTATATAGTTAATGCTACCTTCAAAGAATTATTTTGGTTTTTCCTCAGAGCACCGCAGTGGCAGCAGTGAAGGCAGTGAACTGAGCAGATTGGTTTGTCCCATCATGGCGGTTTAGGGTACCCTGAGATTTTTTACTCTTCCTACCTATAGGTTACTCTCATTGTCTCTCTTTCTGCACCTGCCTTCTTTCCTAGTTCTTCTGTATACTGCATTTATTTTTCTTTCGTTCATTCATTCATTCATTTATTATTGCAAGATTGAATACAATTACTGAAAAGCTATTAGCAATATAAGTACATCATTCCTTGGATTTAATCTCTACTGCCATAGGCTTCGTTTGTACCTTCCTTTCTCCCTCTCTCCCTTTCTCTCCCTCTTTCTTCTCCTTCTTCTTTCCTCCCTTCCTCCCCTCCTTCCTTCTTTATGAATCACCACCTTCTTCCTTTCATGCTCTTTTTCTTTGGTGATTTTTTGTTTCTTGTTTTTTGTGTCCTTATCTACCTTAATGAATAGAAAATGCACTTACTGTCAAGTAGTAGGTGGACCTGAACCTTCCCCTGACGTACCCACCGTTAAGCAGGTTGCATACAAAGTGAGTCTGCCTGGTTTTTGTTTGTAAAGTGATAAAGAACCTTGTTAAGTGGTCTAAGCCGGAGAATGGCTGGCAGGGTAAGTGGTTGCTCTTCCTTGAAATATCTTCTCTACAAGTGGCCTCTTTCAGTAATTAAAAAAAATTAGTTGTGGTGAAATACACTTAACATAAAATATACCATCTTAGCAGTACTTACCTGTCCAATTCAGTAGTGTTAAGTACACTCCGATTGTGGCGCAACCACTCTCCATAACTCTTCACTCTGCAAACTAACACTCTGTACTCATTAAAGCCACATGTCGCTCTCCCACCAGCTGCTGGAAACCACTGTTGTACTTTCTGTTTCTATGGATTTGACTACTCTAGGTACCTTGTGTAAGGGGAATCATACGTCATTTGCTTTTTTATGACTAGCTGATGTCACTCAGCAGTGTCTTTAAGGTTCATCCATGTTGTAGCATGTGGCAGCATTTTCATACTTTTCAGGGCTGAACAATATTTCGTTATAACGATATACCTCATTCACTTATGCGTTCATCCATCAGTAGACACTTGTGGTGTTCCCACTTTTTAGCTGTTGTGAATAATGCTGCTGTGAACGTGTGTGTATTCAGTAGTGTTTTTAAAGGCAATATGTTGACACAACATATATAGAGGAAGCAGAGTGAAACCAAGACCATAAGATACCTTGAGAATGTGAAAATAAGATACCTTTTACATATTTGCTCTCTGGTAACTGAGATTGTAGGCCCTGTACTGTGCTCAAGCCCTGTGAATAGTACATGACTATCCACTGGCTTCACGCAGGTAGTTTCCTAGCATGTATTCCAAAAACAGTGAGGTTCTAGTGCACTGAGTCTTGGATGTTTCCTCTATTATTATTGGCTCATAGTGAATACATATTTGATTGCTTACTCTTCCTGTTGTAGTTCCCCCTTCGACCCCTCACTGCCAAATCCAAGGATCCCAGGATATCGGCAGCGATGTCATCCTGCTCTGTAGCTCAGAGGAAGGCATTCCTCGACCAACTTACCTTTGGGAGAAGTTAGATAATACCCTCAAACTACCTCCAACAGCCACTCAGGGTATGTATGCTGTTGCTTTACTCATTTAATTAGTTACTGTGGGAAATTTTGATTCTCAGATTCACAAAGTAATTAACTTTAATAGATTTTGGAAATTAACATACCATGTTTATAATTGCTGAAAAAGTTATTTGGATTATTTTGTGTTTTTAACTATAAAGAAGATAAAACATTTTATTGTATCTTCTCATTGCTGATTTTATGAAATGCATATTATCTAATGGTAAGAATATATGGTGAAAGATTTTTATAGTGAAGATTTTAAAACAGTGTAGTGGTAGCTTCATTGCATTGTTAACTGTAAGATAATCCTTGAAGTTTATAACTGAGAATCCACTTCCTACTTGAGACAACTGCCTATTTTAGTATGAAAAACATTAGCCTAATCATGAAAGGGTGAGTCATCCTGTTTTCAGCCTCAAGTCTTAGTAGAGGAGGAAGATGGGAAAGAGAACAGGAAAGGGCCACAGGTGGTCCAGGAGTTGACCACACCAGACAGGGAAACATGGAGGATGCATGAGTATCATTGATGGTTCTCTACATGTAAAATCAGCTCTTTAAATTTGATATTAAAGGAGGTACCTTTGAAAAATTGAGGAAAGTTTATGAAGTAGTATGATGCAAATTATAGAATTATATGTAAAATCTATTTTAAAAAATAAAATTTAGCAGTCTCAAGTGTTACATCATCTATAATACAAAACATGTTTCTTGTAGCATTTTCAGGGCAGATTTACAAATCTTAAAGAGTTGGCAGTTAATGGAGAGGTCCGAGACAACCTTAGTTATGCCTGATGAGTTTGAATCATGGGAAAGGAAAGTCCTAAACTGCACGGTGAAGTTAGACAGATTAGAGAGCTGGGACCACCAACCACTTCAACAGCTTCTAAGTTTTAAGAATCCCAACAGAAATATTAAGGGACCTCCCATCATCTTTTAATTAACCTATCCCAGATTTTATTATTCTTAAAAAATTCTTTTCAGCCCTGGCCGGTGTGGCTCAGTTGATTGGAGTGTTGTTCTATAAACAAAAAAGTCACAGGCTTGATTCCCAGTCAGGGTATGTGCTGGGGTTCAGGTTTGGTCTTCAGTCGGGGCACGTAGGATAGGGTTTCTCACTCACATCAATGTTTCTTTCCCTCTCCCTCTTCTTCCTTCCTTCCTCTCTGAAATCAATAGGCATGTCCTCTGGTGAGGATTAAAAAAACCTTAAAAACTTCTTTTCACCATAATAACTTTTGGGTTACTCTGATAATGATTACTGCATACCATTGTTCTCTACTGATTTTTTTTTTTTAATTGGGAAATGTTTTAGCTACACTGTGGGCTAGTTTTATTTGGGTACTAAGTTGTCACTCTCATCATTGTAAGTGATATGTTTAAATAGATCTTATCTTCAAATCCTGAAATTATATTCAAATTCTCCATTTTTCATTGACAGTTTTCTGTGACAGCTCATCTCTTGGGGCCTTTTTTGTCCTTTTGTAAAATAAGAGGGTTAAACAATATCTCTAAGATTATTTTTTCATCTTAATATTCTGATTTATTATAACACTTCTTAGAAATACTGGATTGAGTTTGGAATTAGAAATGAACATTTAAAAGTGTCTTGTTTGGCCCTGGCTGGTGTAGCTCAGTGGATTGAGCACAGGCTGCGAACCAAAGCATCGCAGGTTCGATTCCCAGTCAGGGCACATGCCCGGGTTGCAGGCCATAGCCCCCAGCAATCTCACATTGATGTTTCTCTCTCTCTTTCTCCCTCCCTTCCCTCTCTAAAAATAAACAAATAAAATCTTAAAAAAAGAGAAAAGTTTAATAAAAAAAAAGTGTGTTGTTTGTATGTAAGTTGCAAAAAAAAATCTGTAGAAAGAGCTTTCCATAATTTTGGTTCTGAATAAATGTGTATCAGTCAAATTTATTGATATTTTCTTTGCAACTTAAATATTTTCTGATACTTTAGGGGTAAAAGAGAACTTGAATACAAAGATGAAAATGTTTGTCTTCTATAACTCAAACTCTGGATTGGTTATAAGAATTACTTTAGATAATTTCATTTGTCATTATAATACACATTAAATGAGTCCAAATTTTAATTTAAATTTACCTCTTTTTATTTTATTTTATTGATTATGCTATTAGAGTTGTCCTGATTTTCCCCCTTTGTCTCCCTCCACCCAGCACCCTCCACTTCCTCAGGCAATACCCTCTCCATTGTTCATGTCCATGGGTCATGCATATAAGTTCTTTGGCTTCTCCATCACCACAACTATTCTGTAACTACCTGTTTGTACTTCTCAGTCCCCTTATCTCTTCACCCATTCTCCCCCTCCCTCTTCCTATCTGGCAGCCTTCTGGCAGCTTCTCTTTTCTTGCTGCCTTTTTTTTTTTAAGATTATTTATTTATTTATTTTTAGAGAGGGAAGTGAGGGAGATAGAGAGAGAGAGAGAAGCATCAATGTGCGGTTGCTGGGGGCTGTGGCCTGCAACCCAGGCATGTGCCCTGACTGAGAATCGAACCTGTCCACTTTGATTCGCAGCCTGTGCTCAATCCACTGAGCTATGCCAGCCAGGGTTCTTGCTGCTTTTAAGAGTCTCTTTTTATCTTTAACCTTTGGTATTTTAATTATGATGTGTCTTGGAGTGGGCCTCCTTGCATCCATCTTGTTGGGACTCTGTACTTCTTCACTAAAATAAGGAAGTTTTCTTTCACTATTTTTTCAGATACATTTTCAATTTCTTGCTCTTTCTCTTCTCCTTCTGGCACCCTTATTATGCGAATGTTGGACCTCTTGAAGTTGTCCCAGAGGTTGCTTTATACTATTCTCATTTTTTGGTATTCTTTTTTCTTTTTACTGTTCTGCAGGGTTGTTTTTTGCTTCCCTGTGGTCCAAATCATTGTTTTGGTTCTTGGCTTAATGCACTCTATAGTTGTTTCCCTGTAAATTGGCCTTTATTTCAGTTAGTGTAGCCTTCATTTCTGACTGGGTCTTTTTTATGCTGCTGAGGTCCCCACTAAGTTCCTTGAGCATCCTTATAACCAGTGTTTTGAACTCTGCATCTGATAGCTTGCTTATCTCCATTTTTGTTTAGCTCTTTTTTCTGGAGTTTTGATCTGTTCTTTCATTTGGGCCATGTTTCTGTCTCCTTGTTTTGGCAGGCTCTCTGTGTTTGTTTCTATGCGTTAGATAGAGCTGCTTTCACTGCATATCTTGGTAGTGTGGCCTAATGTAGTAGGTGTCCTGTAGGGTCCAGTGACACAGCCTCCTCTATTACCCAAGCTGGATACTCAAGGTGTGCCTTTTGTGTGGGCTGAGTATATCCTCCACTTGTAGTTGAACCTTGGTTGCTGTTGGCAGATCAATTAATGGGAGGGATTTGACCATTGACCACCAGCCTCTGCTCTCCATGGAGGATGAGCTGTGCAGGGGAAGGGTGGTGGTGCTCCCACCTGGTTTGTAGCTGTTCACTGGGTGTGCTGGCCCTGGAGATTTCCTGAGTGGTGCAGGCTAAGGTCAACCCCACTGGCGTTTTGCCCTGGGGTACTTGTCAGCTATAAAGCAATCTGAGATGGCTGCTACTTATGCTGGATTTAGAGATTCTCAGGGGAAGCTAAGCTGTGATTCTAATTTGGCTGTTAGTAGTGCTAGGCCTTGGACTCACTGAAGCCAGCTGTTACTAGTTTGATAGGATTTAGGGAGTTGTGAAGCATGAGCCAAGACCAGCCATTTTTATGGAAAAGTAACTTGGGCGGGCCTGTACGTTGGGTGGGATGGAGTCTCTGGGGATCTCCAAGGCAGATCAAACATGGGCAAACAGTGTTAGCCAGGTTGATGGAGTCTCAGATATGGCACCAGCCTACTGGCTCTCTGTGGGGGAGGGTTTAGCAAAGGGACTATGGGCTCTTCTTGCCATAATGCCAGACACCTCATTTCTCCCTCTATGCCAGTGATGCCTTTCAAACTACTACCCTGGTGCTGGAGCTCAGAAGGAAGTGAGTCTTAGTAGGTGAGTCCATGTGTGGGTTCTTTAAGAGGAACTGCTTGGGGCTCCAGTAGTTTCTTATACCTACTCAATCCCCACTGGTTTTTGCAGCCAGAAGTTGTGGGGACTTATCTTCCTGGTATTAGAATCCTGGGCTGAGGGACCTGGTTTGGGTCTGGGACTCCTCACTCCTGAGTTATCCCTCCCGAATTTTTATCCACCACACATAGGTGTAGGACCAGCCCATTCTGCCTCTGCACTCCTCTTACCAGTCTGGATAGATGTGGTTTCTTTAACTCTGTAGTTGTCAGACTTCCATTGAACTTGATTTCTGATGGGGATCTGAGTGATGATTGTCCTCTATTTTAGTTGTAACTTTGAGGTGGCTGGGGGAAGAGGCAAGCCATGTCTACCTACGCTGCCAACTTGACCAGAAGTCTAAATTTACCTCTTGATAGCTACATTAATAAGGTAGATCTCAAAATAGTATTTAATCACAAAATCACATTGTTTTTCAGATTTACTTTACTAATATGTTTGCATTTGCTTAATATAAACTCAAGATGTGTTCTCTGAGGAAAGAACATTTGATACCAGCGAGGAGCACCCCAGATGTCTGATTAGTGACAGAGGCATAATATTTGGGGGTCAGCATTGTCCTTGTGTATAGGAGCTAGCTTGGAGGCATTTCTTCTGGCTAAATCTGAGACAGTTTGAACATTAAAATAAATATATAATCCATTGAGTGAAACGAGAGGCCTTGAATCTCCACTGATATGCATAAACAAATGGGGGACAAGGGAAAGCATTTTCTTAGAGTAGAATACCTATTAATGTACATAGAAGGAATGATGGGATTAAGAAAGTCATCACTGATATCAAAATAGGGGGAAAAGTTTGATAAGGCACAAGATATCTACATAGTTCTAAAATGTATCTCCACAAATTACTTATTAATTGCAAAGAAAAAAGAGTACAGTTGACCCTTGTACACCAAGGGTTTGAATTGCATAGGCCCACTTATATGCAGATTTTTTCAGTAAATACTGTAAATGTATTTTTTTTCCTTATGATTTTCTCTGTTTTACTTCATTATAAGAATACTCTATATGATACATATAACATACAAAATATATGTTGACTATTTAAGTTATCTGTAAGGCTTCTAGTTAACAATAGGCTATTAGTAGTTAAGTCTTTGTGGAGTCAAAAATTATATGCAGATTTTCTAGTGCTTGGGGTGGAGGCATCAGCTCACCTAATCCCTGTGTTGTTCAAGGGTCAACTGTGACTTTACAATAGAGAGAGCTGGTGGATACCACTTTAATCAGGTGACCAAAACATTGTTGATATGGTGACAAACTGCTATCCTGTGCCTTCGAATATTGGGTTGACCGAAAAGACCATGTGTTTTTTTTTCTGTAAAATAAAAGACATATTTTTCATTTTTACCAATAACATTATTAATTTGAGTATTTTGAGTATGTCCACAATGTCCTGCATGGTATAACATTGATTGTTATCAATTAATGTCTCTATTTGATCACTATCCACATCAGCTGGTCTACCAACTGTGGAGAATTGTCCAGTGAGAAATCTCCAGCATGAACCTTTGCAACCACTTTTGACATGTTCAGTCAGTCACAGCACCTTCTCCATCCATGGCACAAATCTCTCTCTTTTTTTTTTTTTTTTGCATTTCAGTTGCATTTTTTACCTTTCTTCAAATAATAAATCATAATATGCCAAAAATGTTGTGTATTTTCTTCCATATTCAATATTAAAATAGCTACACAAAAATTCACCAATTTTTGTTTTTTTGAAATGCACACTGATATGACAGCTGTCACAATATAATCTAACAAAATTGTTTTGAATGAAGTTAAAAACAACTAAACATTACTAGAGCCATCTCACCAGGGGAAAAAGGTGAACAAACTTTTTGGCCAACCCAATAGATGCGGAAGAGGTAATGCATTCGAGACCACATAGCTAGTAGGTGGTAGGGCAGACTGCAACGCAGGCTGTTTGAGTCTAGAACAGGTCCGGAAGTGGTTCTGGAACTAAGGAGAGAGGATGGAAGGAAATGTACACATATTTATTTCTTTCTAATTCTGAAGGCATTTGAGTCCAGGTGCCCTAGCTTGCATGGGATACAGTTGCTACAAACTAAACAGTGTGTGTGTGGGGGGGTGTCACTTGTGCTTTCAAATTATGGTTCCACACTGTTGAACTTTCCCTATTCTTTAAAAGAAAGAAGATCAAAAGATCATTTATTTTCCAGCTCCATTGCAACAAATTACTTCCATGCCAGAGCAGGCCAAGTGAAGTGACAGGTTGAGGAGTTAGCCCATCTCTTTTCTGAAAGGGCCATGTGTTTGTGGCTGGAATCAGTCTGGTGCTTGTGGAAGAGGTGCTCCTGGCTCCACCCTGCCTTCACTGCCAAACAGCTCTGAATATCTCCAGATCTTTAATGTGATATCATGATTTTAGTCTTTAAAATTCATGAACAAAAAACATCTCTGCAAAAAAAAAATTAAAAAGCTATTGATACCTCTTTAGTGTTTACTTTTATAGTCTTATCTTTTGCTGATTTCTTTGGTTTTCTCATTTTCTCCCCTAAATCCTAACTCAATTGTCATTTTTCTGACAGACCAGGTCCAAGGAACAGTCACCATTCGGAACATCAGTGTTCTGTCTTCAGGTCTGTACCAGTGCGTGGCTTCTAATGCCATTGGAACCAGCACCTGCCTTTTGGACCTTCAGGTTACTTCCCGTAAGTGTATAAAATCTGATGTCCACTTTGGGTCTGAAACCAAGATCTTTGTTAAACTTGGGAATGCAGAGCACTGCCTAATTGTTTTTAGGTGGTTTGAAGATTAAATAGAACTTTGTTTGGTTTTAATCATTATTGAAAATATTTTATGATTGTATTAATGTATGTTTTAGCCTTAGCAATATGACGTCTTCTTTATGACAAAATATCATCCTCCTCAGAGTCATTAGAATCAAATCAATTCTGATTGTATATGCTATAGACATTATAAAATCTGTAGCAATCCATGGCCATGGCCAAGACAAGACTTTTCTGTATTTTCCCCAAATCCCTTATTTCGGCTTAATTATTGGGTAAATAAGCAATGTGGAATTTTTCTCTTCAGTGGGGAATTCTGGGTTATTTGAATTCTAGTTGTGAAAGGGAGTTCTCTGTCTAGGTTGAGGTGATGAGTTAGCCTACTGACTGCTGGGTACACTGGGGCAGATGAGGCAGGTTAGGCAGCTACCATCCTTTCCCTGTTCTGCTGTAGGTGCAGCTCTCCTGAAGCTTCTAGTCATGTAACTGTTTGTTCCCTAAATACATGTGAGCCTGCTGTGTGCCAGTCCTAGCCACTGGGGCTACAGGAAGCTAGGGGAGGTTAACTTTATGTGGATGTAATACTTGAGGCAATTTTGTACATTTTAAGAAGATTGTTTAGTAAACTTAAGCTTGTAAAGTCACATGGATATATGCTGTTTCTCTCTCTCTTTCTGTCTTTTTTAAGTGTTTTGTTCTTTAAATATGCCTTAAATATATTTTGCAGCCCAGCCCAGGAACACTGGACTAATAGCTGGAGCCATCGGCGCTGGTGCAGTTATTACCATTTTTTGCGTTGCACTAATTTTAGGGGCATTCTTTTACTGGAGAAGCAAAAATAAAGAGGAGGAGGAAGAAGAAATTCCTAATGAAATAAGGTTTGTGTGTCAGATAATTTGTCTTGCTTAGCCAACCTCTGTTGGCTTCAACTGTTGTACTTCTACTCAGTTGGGCAACTGAAATTTCTTTGCTTATTTTACAACTGTGCTGGCCAAAATAGTTAAAATGGCTAAATGATATTTTCTTGTACAGTAACACTTTGCCTCATGGCTCTAGTCAGCTTTATTTACTGGATCATGAAAGGGGAGGACTAGGAGGACACAGGTGAATAATATCCCCTTTTCCTTCCATATCTCCAGGGTAAGTGGGGCTAGGTGACAGCCACAGTAGAAAAGTTAGAACACGTGTTTCACATTGACACATATTATAAATGAGAACATAAAGCGAGAAGGAATACTATAGAGCATACCAGTACCCGTACACAGATAGGCCGAAGCATTATGGCTTGGTGTGACACACAGTTCAGTCAAGAATATGAACATCTTAAGAAAACAATGCCAAAACAACCTTTAAAGTTAAGTGACTCTTGTCATAGTGTGGAGGTAATGGGGGTTCAGGCTCAGTCTCAGATTGTATCATATCACATCCCTATAGAAAAGGCTTTAATGGCTCCAGTCTGCTTAGCATTATGTATGCAGCCTTTCGAAATCCAGCCCCCACCTGCTTCCCTGGTCTTACCTCCCATCACTTTTCTGATCACTTTGTCTTCCAGTCTATTCTGTATTCTCTCATGCCTCAGGGCCTTTGTTCAAGCCTCTGCCCTCTTCCTGGGATATACTCCTTCCTTTTTCATCCCTCTCTTCAGTAAATTCTTCGATCTGATTCAGGACTATTCCAGGCATCACCTCCTCATAAAAGTTGACTTTAGCCCTTCGCCCAGCCTTGCAGACTTGCAAACGTTCTTGTATTGATGGTCACCCCCATTTGACCCTAGGTTTCTTGGCTATCAGAGCTGTGTATTTTTTACATGAAACATCTAGTGGAATAGTACTCAGTAAATGTTAAATGAATTAACATCTTAAGTTAATGACTTCTCTTAGCCTCTTCTAATTCTTATGGGTTTGGACTGCATGCAGGGGAAGATCTCATGCCAGCATGAGGTCACTGCGGAAAACTTCTTTTCAGCAGAGCACAGTCATTGCTCAGACCCCAAAGTGCAATAAGATCGGGCTGCCTCGAACCATCTCTTGAAGTTCTTCACACCCTAGCTTGGTTTCCTAGCTGACAGCAACTAGCTCAGCAGAATTTCTCATGGACTGTTTTTCTATTTGGAGCAAATATAAACACAGATGTATTTTTTTAGTTACATTGGAAGACACAAGTCTTTGAGAGATTTGAAATGACCTTTTCTTGTCTTGGAGATTGAGAAGCTAAGGGAAAATTTTCTGGAGCAGTGTTTCAATAGGAATGGATATTAAAGCCAGGCCACCAGAGCTGCTATGGCCTACCCGAGGATTCGTATCTCACAGACATGTTAGCTTTAGCATAGAAGAAAGAATCCTGGCAGAATAAACCTGAAGTAAATCCTATTGATGACTTTATTTTGTTCTTTTTCAGAGAGGATGATCTTCCACCTAAATGTTCTTCTGCCAAAGCATTTCACACCGAGATGTCCTCCTCAGAGAACAACACATTGACCTCCTCCAATACCTTCAACAGTCGATACTGGAGCAACAATCCAAAAGTTCATAGAAACACAGAGTCATTCAATCACTTCAGTGACTTGCGCCAGTCCTTCTCCCTGCACTCAGGCAATGCCAACATACCATCCATCTATGCTAATGGGAGCCATATGGTCCCAGCTCCACATAAGACTCTGGTTGTGACAGCCAACAGAGGGTCATCACCACAGGTCACGCCCAGGAACAATGGCTCAGTCAGCAGGAAGCCTCGGCCTCAGCACACACATGCCTGCACCGTCAGCCGAGCGACCCTGGAGCGAATCGGTGCCGTCCCTGTCATGGTGCCAGCCCAGAGTCGGGCCGGGTCTCTCGTATAGGACAAGAGCCAATAGAGCGTTCAGAAAAGAACCAGTGAAATGCTCCACACAAGAGGCTGGGTGTTGTGGATAAGTGCTGGGAAAGAAACTCTTTCCTTACCATGATTCTAGTGAAAAGCACAAGAAAGCAAATGCTGTCACCTGGCCACTAAGATTTGTGACATGAACCAGAGTGCTCTGTCATGAAGACTTGTTTCCCCTCCACAGACGTCCTAGGGTTCTACTCAGAAAGCTGGATCTCAAAGATGTGCCAAGCCAAGGAAGAAGATATAAGAGCAGAATAGCACGAAAAATCTAAATTGCATTCAGGCAGGTTTGTTCTTTTGTTCATGTGTAATGTAATAGTTTTTCAAGAAACTAAAGTGCCAGATGGAGTTTAAATAATGAAATTATTCTAAAAGATAGGCGTCTTTAGAAAAAATAATAAACATCTTGGGATATCTCCCAGCTCTCCCCATGCCCTCTTCATGTAGGGGGCGAATGGCATGAATGGTTCCTGTCTGTCCTAGCAGGACTGGCTCTTGTGTCACAGAATCAAAGCTTTTTACACAAGCAAAATTCAGTTAGAAATGGGAGAAAACAAAAGAAACTTCTTTGACAAGCCCATTTATATTTATTTATTTTTTGAACCACAAATTTCATATTTGGAATATTGCTCTGTTGACAGATTCTTGCCTGTCTATGTTTTTTCTAGGGCTTGCCATAGGTCCATGACAGTTGCTGTTCATGATTTCCTGGGAAAGTTTTTTTTTAAACTATTGGTTTTTTAAAAGAATACATGAGGGGCGTTGCATGAAGGAAGGAAAAGACTGTTATTAACACCACGTTCAGTAACTATTCTTAGGGCCCACAGATGTCCATCACAAAAGAGGCCCCCTGTGTGGGGGCAGCACAGGAGAGAAGGCGGGCAGGTCCCAGGGCCCAGAACTTTCCTGGCAGCCTCTCGGGGCGGCATCCAGGTCTCCCTGCCATCAAACTGAGTCACTTGTAATGAGGGCAGCACCCGATGCCTTTTGTCTTGAGGTAGACAACTTTCTCCTTGTTTGACAAGTAGGGGTTAGGTTATTAGGTAGTTACAGGGCAGGAGATGTTTTCTTTTTTTTTTTTCCCAAAATAATTATTTTTGTAAAAGATGATACTGAGACAAAAAGGATGTATCTTCAGGTATGCTCCTGGGAGGGTCTGCCCTGTATTTTTCAGAGCTCAGGGTTGCAATTGTGTCCAAATGCATTTTACACCCCTATAAAGAGACGCCTTTTGTGATTAATTACCTGGTGTGGCTGGCTGTGGAGTTCAGCAGGTAACGTACAAACTCCCCACTCTATTTTGTGCTATGTAGAGCTGGCCATACTTGGATTGGTGACTATATTGCCTTAATCACACTTTAAGCAACACACAAATGCTTTCTTCCCAGACTTAAAAAAAATCATTTATGATACTGACCCCATGATTCCATAAGAGCATCTTTTCTTTTCCCAGTGTTGCCTCTCACTCCCTCTCCCCACTATGTCTTTTGCCCTCTTTTCTTGCAAGCATTGCCACCACAGGGAGTGGCCTCCTGATTTTTAGACTTACTTGAGTAAATGGAAACCAGCAGCTGCTGCATACACAGTCTCCAAGAGGGCTAAGCTCGGAACCTAACCATTCCGATATTGATGAAAAGCTAAATTTACTTTGGTATTACTTATTTTTTTATTTGATGGTTCTTGACTTTGTAAAAATTTAAATGTAAATGTCTATCCTTTTTAATAAAGTGAAAATACCATGACACAGAGAAGATGATAATGTCAGATATTGTTTAGAAAGCATTTATCTTGCATTTCTTTATTCTTTCTAATTATCTAAAATTTAATAAAAGTTTATTCATACAAAAACAAGTTGTAATTATCATAATACTATCAAATAGATGATTTTATGTTCCTCTTAATCTTATAAGCACTTTCCAATTCGTTAGTTTTCATAGTCATTTTAATGAACATGTAATATGAGGTTTGTCCAGAAGGTATCCAGCCATGTAATATGAAAAATAGAGACATTTATTGAAGAAGATACATGAAACATTGTCCACAGGACAATGATGCCTCAGTCCTCTTCAAAGTAGGCACCTTGGGACCTCACACAGTTCTCTCAGTTGCCATCAGCTGCCCTGTTGTATTTTTCTAACTCTCATTGATGGTGTGAAATCTCTTCCCTTTCAAAGATGATTTTAGTTTTGGAAAAAGACAGAAGCCACAGGGCACCAAATCTGGGCTGTCAGGGGGTTGAGTCACCTGGGTGGTTTGATGTTTCACAAAAAAAATCTGCTTGAGACATGATACATGAGCAGGTACATTATCTTGATCAATCTGTCGATCACCAGTTGCCCATAGCTGTGGCCTCCTGAACCATCCAAATAGTTTCCAAGGAGGAATGTTCAAACTTAATGCAAAATTTGATGCAGATTCATTGCTCTACTCGCTCAGTCATGTTAGATGCAACAGCTATACAGTACACATGCTCCCTCAATGGCGTCTACCACCCCCCCTGACTAGTACAGTGAAGTCGTCATTGTTCATGCATGCACATCCAAGTCCTCTCTCCTTGGCTGCCAGGTTACATCGATGTCATGCAAACCATTCTCATTATAGTAACAATGGCTGGACTTTTTCCACACAGACCAAAAATTACTTAACTTTTGTTGTTAGAAATTTAAGTTGGATCCAATTCTCACATGTATGATTGCAGGTGTAATGACCTTTCCTACATACTGAGCTATATTTACATTTCATATTTCCTGCTCTTTTTAAGCCCTGTACCTGTGTGACCTACACCAGTGCTTAATGAGAGTGTTGAGCAGTGAATGACTGATGATTTCAGAACTGAAATTGCCAAGTGTTATTTCAGAAAGTTAGCATCATGATAACTCTTGCCATATGGAGGTGTGGGCAAAAGTAGGTTCACAGTTTATATGGAAAAAGATATGCAGGTTATTATTACAATAATACCAGAATAAACTGTTTTGTGTATTCACAACTGCAAACCTACTTTTGTCCACCCCTGTATATTGGATTATTCCTTTGTTTTAACTTTTATTTGAGATAACTATATGTTTACATGCAGTTCTAAGAGTAATAGATTTCCATACACCTTTCACCTAGTTTCTCCCAAGGGTAGCATTTTACATAGCCATTACACAGCATTGTAAATCGACATTCCATCAACCTTACTCAGATTTCAACAGTTACATGTGCACTCGTGGGTGTGCACACACAGTTAATGCAGTTTTGTCATGTGTAGGTTCATGTGACCATCACCACAGTCAAAATACAGGGCTCTGTGTGCTTCTCTTATGTAGTTATAGCCCCTCTCTCTTCTCCAAGTCCCAAACCACTAACCTCTTTATAATTTTATTATTTCAAGAATGTTCTATAAAGGATATAAGGATGTCCTGCAGTATATAACCTTTGGGGATTGGTTTATTTTTCCACTCAGCATGATTTTCTGAAGGTCCATCAGGTTTTCCCACATATCGATAGTTCATGCCTTTTTATTGCTGAGTAGTATTCCAAGGCACAGACATACCACAGTTTGTTTAACCATTCACCCATTGATGGATATGAAGGGTATTTGAGTTGTTTACAATTTTTTCACTTTTACAAATAAAGCTGTTGTGAATATTTTTACTGTGAACACTTTTGTACAGATTTTTTTGTGTGAATGTAAGTTTTCATTTCTCTAAGAGAAATGCCTAAGAGTGCAGTTGCCCCAGCACCATTAGTTGAAAAGTCTATCCTTACTCCAGTGAACTGCTTTTACACCTTTGGAAAAACTTGCTTAGATACATTTGTGAGTCTCTTTCTGAGTTTTCTAGATGATCCACTGATCTTTGAGTCTACCCCTCTGTAACAGTGGGGAGAGAGACACCCAAGGCAGGAGGCCTTTCTCTTCACCTCCATTCTTGTCTCACCCGCAAGGGAATAATTCAAGTGAGAGACAACACATATAGTGGAAATGAGAGCAAGTTCATTTATGAAATACATACAAGCATGGAGCTGCAAGCAGGCACCTGGCAAGTTGAACTGCCCCACATAAAGAAGAAACACAGTTGTTAGGAAGTTTGTTAGTTAGTTTGTTCTGTACACTTGAGATGAGGCTACAAGTGGGTATTTAGCTAATCCAAGTACACGGCCTATTGGAGTTCAGGGGTTATGTACCTCAGCTGGCTTCTAGGTTCCTCCTCCTTTCCCCTGTTGGGAATAAAGTATGGCTTACAGAGGCTTTCTTTCTCAGTTAGTAAAGGTTCTTTGTCTTAGTGTAATTGTTACAGAGGCCCCCTTTCCCAGCATAGGCTCCCCTCTTCCTCCTTTGCAATTCCCACCTTGTGATATTTACAGCACCTAGTAAGATTGTTACAGAAGCCCCTTTTCTCAGCTCAGTACCAAAGGCTCTCCCCTCCTCCTGTGCTATTTTGCTTGGGACACCCCAGCAATCTTATCAAACCAGGCTCAGGACTGCTGAGTTAATTGGTGAGACATGTCTTCCTGTTGATTTTATCCTCCTGTATTAAGTTCTTTGTTATATTGTAATGCTGAGGGACCTGCCTTTATTTCTCCTCTGGCAGCTCATTCCTCATTCCTAGCTGCTACCTAATACTTCCAGTGATAATATGCTGACCACAGTAGCTATTAACAAGCTTTAAAATCAAGTAGAGCAGTTTCTCCCACTTCATTCTTCCCTGTCAAAATTGTTTTAGCTATGCTAGTCCCTGTGCCTTTCCATATAAATTTTAGGAGCAAATAGTCTGTGCCTACAAAACACCATGATGTTTTAATAGGAATTGCATTGAACCTATATTAATTTGAGAAGAACTGTCATCTTTACTATTTTGAATCTTCCAATCCATGAACATGGTATTTCTCCATTTATTTATGTCTCCTTTGATTTATTTCTTCAGCATTTTGTAATTTTCAGAATGTAGATTCTGTATATGGCTTGTTGCATTTGTCCCTAGATAATTTTTGAAGCTATTATAAACATTACTGTTTTAAATTTGGGTTTCTATATATTAGTTTTTAGTGAATAGAAATGTTAAAAAAGGAAATGTAATTACATTATGTATGTTGATTTTATATTTTGTAACCTTGCTGAACTCTCTTCAGACTTTGTTTCATTTAGTAGATTCCTTGAGATTTTCTACATTCATAATCATATCATCTACAAATAGGGATAGTTTTATTTCTTCCTCTTCCATCCATTTGCCTTTTTTTTTGCATTATTATAATGGTTAGAACTTATAAAAGTAATGGATGATATCCTCCTGCTCCAATCTTAAGGGGAAATCATTCCATTTCTTTTTACAATTAAATGTGATATTAGTTGTAGGCTTTTGTAGATTATTTTATCAGTTGAGGAAGCTTCACTCTATTACTAGTGTGCTGACTGTGTATCATTTATCAGTGTTGAATTTTGTCAAGTGTTTTTTCTGCATCATTTGATACAATAATATGATTTTTTCCTTTGACCTATTGACAGGCTGGATTAATTGACTAATTTTCAAATGTTGAACCAGTGTTGTGTACCTGGAATAAATTTCAGTAGGTAAGGGCTTGTAACTTTTTTAAACATTGCAGAATTTGATTTGTTAATATTTTGCTGAGGATTTTTGTGTATAAGTGCATGGAATTCTCTAGTAAAATCATCTGTGCCTAGAGATTTCTTTTTCAGTTTTTAAATTACTGATTGAATTTTTTAGCAGTCATAGGGTTATTCAGGTTACCTATCTCACCCTGAATGAGTTTTGATAATTTGTAGATTTTGAGGAATTGGTGCCCTTTCATGAGAGCAGGATGGTACTGATATCTCGTTTCACTCCTGATGATGATAATCTGTGTCTCATATCTTTTTTATTTTTGTCAGTTGTTTGAAACTGTCAATTTTACTGATTTTTCAAACAAATCACTTTTTGTTTTACTAATTTTTTCTATATTTCAGTTTTCAGTTTTATTTATTTTTGCTCTTTATTATTTCCTCCTTTTTGCTTGCTATGTGTTTATTCTTGTCTTATTTTTCTAGTTTCTCAGTGGGAGCAAAGATTATTGACTGGAAATTCTTTTTCTTTTCTAATGTAAGCTTTTAGGGCTATAATTTTCCCCTCGGCACTGGTTAGCTTCATCTATATATTTTGACATGTATTTTTATCTTTATTTGATTCTATGTGTTTTAAATTTTCCCGTGAGAATTCGAGAATTCCCTTTTGGAATTATTTAGAAACGTGTTAATTTGCAAATTGTTGCAGACTTTCTGGTCTTCCTGTTAATGGTTTGTAGGTTGAAGTCAGAAAAATAATCTATTGTTTCAATTCTTCCAAATCTGTGGAAGTGTGTGTCATGGCCTAGGACACACTCTGTGTCGTCCTTGTTGGGTGAAATGTTCTGAATATACCAATTAGATTCAGCTGATTGATTGCATTGATCAGTTTTATATTTCTACTTATTTTCTATCTAGTAATTCATTTGCTGAAACTGGGGTGTTAAAATCCACAATTGTGATTGCAGATTTGTCTGTTTCTCTTATCAGCTTTATCATGTTTGCTTTGTATATCTGAGGCATTTTTGGTGGGTGCACATATATTTAGAATCACTGGGTCTTCCTGGCACATCAATCCTTGGAATCATTATGTGACGTTCTTTTTTGTCTCTAGTAATTTTATTTGCTCTGAAGTCTACTTTATCTGGATATCTTGTGCATTTTTAAAATTACAGTTGTTTGCATAGTATGCCTTTTCTCATCCTTTTTCAATATCCCTATGTTATTAAGATAATTGAAGTGAGTTTCTTGTAGACAGCACATTGTTGGATTATAATTGTGTCCATTCTGAAAATATCTGTCTTTTAAT